AGGAAAAAAAAAATGTGAACCCATCTGGCCATGTTGACATGTTCTAGTTGTAATGAAGTTTACTCTTTGGTACCTGCCTTGTTTGAACAGGGTACCTTTTTATATATATACAAATATGCATGTGTGCACATTTTATTTAAGCTCATATATATAAATATATATTTTGTGTAGGCTGAAGCAGAGCTTCTATCTTCTATTGTTGCCTTTTTCAAACGAATCGGACTTACAGCAGCAGATGTTGGATTTAAGGTTTCCAGTCGAAAGGTAATTTTTTTCTGCATCTTTTGTGATTATTCCAATAAATTTAGTTATTTCTTTATTAATTATTGAACATTCAATCATGAATCAAAGACTTTAATTGTTGTAGTTTCTGTAAATGCCTTATGTTGTAAGTTTGATGGTAGGTTTTGCAAGAAGTATTAAAATGCTACGGAATACCTGAAAATATGTTTGGCAAGGTTTGCATCATCATAGACAAGGTTGGTTATCTATGACTTCAAGTTCCATAAATATTTAAATTTTTGTGCTCGTTCTTGACGCGTGTCTTGATGTAATAATTTCTTCTCTGTCTCTGTTTCCCTCTGGCTATTAATCTTAACAACAGATAGAAAAAATTCCATTGGATGAGATGAAGAAGGAACTGAAGGTTGTTGGTGTATCAGAGGATGCTATCGAGGAGATGTTGCAAGTTCTTTCAGTAAAGTCTTTAACAAAGTTAGAAGGTTGTTTCTGCAAATGGTTAAGTCTTTAGCAAATTAGTTGAAATGCATGTGATAATTCTGATGAATGCATTTTTGTTTCCAATTAAAAAAACAAAGAAATCTGATGAAGGCATTGAAATTAATTGAAGCGTGATTGTTATCCTTGCTTAGAGATACTTGGAGGTGGTGGTGAAGCGATGTCTGATCTGAAGCAGCTATTTTCTCTTGCTGAGAAGTTTGGTTATTCTGATTGGATCCAATTCGATGCGTCAATTGTTCGCGGCCTTGCTTATTACACTGGTATTGTTTTTGAGGTTGGTATTTGATATTCACTCCTTGTTGATTTGACTTGTGTTCGTACTGTAGAATAGGTCAAACATATATTATATGTCATTAACTGAATGAATGCCACGTTCGACACGTTAAACTACAGTGAGCTTCTAGATTATCATGTAAACGGAATAATGTCGGCAAAGCTTCACACTAAATGGCTACAATCCCCAAGTACAGTAATATTATAAATTATATGAAATTTTTAGTATCAAATAATTTCATATATCTTGGTGTATTTGACAATAAAGAAATGGATTGGTAACAGTATGTTTTCTTTGTATGTCGTCAAACATAATTGCTGCAACCGAACAATATGCACGTTTATTCTTTTTCCTCGTTGCTTTAGTCAATATTTCTTCTTGAACTCTGTCTTCATATAAATAAATGTTACTTGGCTATATTTATCTCTTATTGTTTTATGGAAATAATTGGTAAACTGATCAAAGTCGTATTTATTCTCTCTTGTCCTTGTACCAGTTTAATTGAAGAAAAGACAATGCCATGAAAAATGAAAATTGCTCTTTCGGTTCCTTTTAATTATGAAGATGCTTTTTCAGGGGTTTGACAGAGGGGGAAAGCTGCGAGCCATATGTGGTGGGGGTCGGTATGATCGTTTGCTTTCTACCTTTGGTGGTGACGATCTTCCTGCTTGTGGGTTCGGGTTTGGTGATGCTGTTATAGTAGAGGTACGTTTTAAGCTGAACTCTGCATCCATACACAATCATAAAAAAATTCTATGAATTCTATGCTTAATATTAACATAGAACGTAACGTGGATGAACTTTTACTGGGGATATTATTAACGTCATGCTTTTTGATCAACTGTGTTCGACTGTTCATTATTTAATAACCATCTTGAATTGGCTCATAGTTAAGAATCTTTTGGTTCAAACCATGTAGGCCGTTTATCTCATGTATTATCAAGTATCCTACCAATTTCTTGACTCCTCGATATCAAATCTTTTAGGATTAAGTGGTTGTTTGGTAGATTCAGTTGAGTAGTGTTAAACTAACTCATACTCGGGGAAAACTTTCAATTTTTGTTTTATTGAGTATTGAACAAGGGGTGAAATTAATACCTTCTCAAAACTAAATTAGAACATTGTTCATCACTAGCCAAAAAAACCACACAATCTCAGCTAACTAAGCATTCAAATTCAAGTCATAGAATGCTCAAATTGATCTATGAAACTACAAAGTAGGTACAAAAAATTAAAAAAAAAAAAAACAAAATCCTAAACTGAACAGTAAAATGCTTAATCCTAGGTAGAAGGCATCCGTATGATCAAAATAACCCACTTTTACCGAAAACTGTCATGCCCCATCACAAGAACGCACATAGCTGACTGCAAATCAGGTTGAAATAAAAAAACCGATGAAAACAATTGAACTGAGGTGGTTCCCCACCCATTGGAAGTACACCCTTTAGTTCAAGTCACTAATATCGATTTCATGGGTCATTTCTATGATCAACCTTATGTTGAACCAAACCACTTAAATCAACGTGCCTTTTGAGGAATACACTTTTTTTATCATACTTATCAATAGCTCGGTTTTGAGATATTTGTTTTGTGCCTGGACGTGGGGTTTGGTTGTAGTTGCTCAAGGAAAAGAAGTTGCTGCCAGAACTGAGTGTTGAAGTAGAGAACATAGTTTGTGCCCTGGATCCTGATCTCCAAGGCGCAGCTTCAAGAGTTGCTACCATTCTTAGGGAAAAAGGCCAAACGGTTGATTTGGTATTGGAGAATAAACCTCTCAAATGGTATCATTCACAAAACCCGATCAACTTCATCAAAATTATCACAATTTCTGATCCACCCTGATTTGCTTCATCTTTTGCAGGGTGTTTAAACGAGCGACACGGATAAACGCTCAGCGGTTGATACTAGTCGGAAGTTCAGAATGGCAACGAGGCATGGTCGGAGTAAAAGATCTTTCCTCAGGTGAGCAACGCGAGGTCAAACTTGATGAACTCAACTAACTTAACCTTCATTCTTCTCTTCCACAGATTATTTATTCATATGTTTCGCTTAGATTATTTATTCATATGTTTCGCTTAGATATCAAACTTTCCATTCAAACATTTTCCTATTTCAGATAGCTTTGTATTGAAATGGTTTGTGACTGATTTATCATGGGATGCGTAATTAAATTAAAAGTTTAGTTCTCAAATTTTAATAATTGTGTCTAATAGGTTAGGTTCTCTGAATTAAGATATTGGCTCTTGAACTCTCACATTTGTATTTAATAAAAAAAAAAAATAGTATTAATATAAAAATGTGTAATCATTTTATGAATTGAACTCTTAATAGATTTTAAAATTTTAAATTTTTTTCCTTTCATAATAATTTCCTTAAATTTGAAAAGAATTGAGGCAGTATTAAAAAGTAAATAGGATTTAGAAGTTTATTATAATGAGTTTTCATGATTATTCAATATTTGTTTTAAAATTGAAAATAATAATGGGAAAGTTGAAAATATCAATTATTAATAACAGTGTTTGATGTAATATTTGTTGTGCAAGGTTTATATTAAAATGAAAATAAAAAAGTACGAAGAAAATGGTAAAAACAATTTTTCGATTTTATATTGTAAAATTTGATCCAAACCAGAGGAATTGACAGCTCTAGTCGGCTTCCACCACGATTATACGACGTCGTTCTCTATAGCCTAAACGCGATATCCCTACTTCTCTCTCCCTACTGTAATTAAATGTCTCTCTCCCTCGCGTGCTAGGGCCATGGAGTCCGGCGGAAGAACTAACCATAAAACCCTAGATGTTACTATGATTCTGCTGTAACCATAAAACCCCAATGGAGGTTTCGCGAATGGCCGCGTTCTGACCGATTACGCGGGTAAATGATCATCCCTCACATCGCACTCTCACCTAAATCTCGCAAGTATGAAAATGGTTGGAAAGAAAGATGAAAAGATTTCACAATTGATTTTGATATGGAAGGGGTTTATTAGTACATATTGATGTGTGGTGGATGTGGCACAATGCCATAATATTACCCTCCATTACTTCAATTTAAAAATGGTTGCGAAAGCTTTTAAAAGCAGCAAACGCAGCAGCCCATCCTTGTTGCGTAGGATGCACCGAATCCCAAAAGAAAGCTGCTTTCCGATCCTCACATAACACGAACATCTGCTTCCCTTCTCCGTCCACACTCCCGCAACTAAATCCACTCCCCACTCCATAACAACACGGCTTCAATGGCGTCTTGAACTCTCCATTGTTGTATCTCTTCCGCCCTTGGATTATGGACATGAACGCCCCATACACATCAACAATAAACACCTTCGAAGAATGCTTCGTTTCTTGGTTCAGCTTCTTCACACCTTCCTTCAACAAAAAGTTGTGAAACTGCACCAACGAGTTTATGCTTTCATTGCATTGCTTGTATGATGAGGGCGCTGTAAATACCGGAAAACATCCCAATGGGCCTAGCCCTGTCACCGCTATCTTCTTCACTCCCAACCCCCCAATGCGTTTCAAATTGACCATGATCTGATTCACTACCGAGATTATGAACGGTTTCAATCCCTGTAAAACACATCGGAATTTCAGTTTATGATTCTCTTCGGGTTAGATGGCGGAATTGATTGATACCTGTCTAGAGGTGTTCATGGCGAAGTAAAAGGAATAGTCGTTGCCGGAAGCAGAGACGAGTGCGACAGAGGATTGGGCGTCTGTATTGGTCAATATGGAATCGCCCTGTCGGAGATGTTGAAAGAAGTCGATCTGGGTTGTCATGTTTGGCAAAGGATACTCTGTGTCGAACACGCCGGTTCCCCCAAATGCAAAGTTTACTCCTGTTTCTTTGAATCTTCTCAACCCGACTCTGTTTCGGACACTGAATGGGATCGGAGATTTCAACCCGACATGTCTCGCTGCATTCAATTATTCCCATACGTTCCATTACATTTCGAGATTAATATCATTTTAAGGCCTTTCTTGACAGCCATTTGTTCTTGGTAAGAACAGGACGGTAGGAAAACCGGTGAGACAGAGAGAGACAAAAACAGAGACAGAGATTTGTTTACCTGCAAAATCAGTGAGAACACGACCATCGGAGAAACGGCCAATGGGTTTTCCTGGAAAAGTAATTCCATAAGGAAATTGCATACCGGGGGAAATGGGAAAAAGAATGTTGCCGGTATCAGCATAGGAATCCCCAAAAACAAACAGCTTTGTTGGCCGGAAACGGTGGCGGAGCTGCTGGTGGTGGTGATTGTAAACGCCACCAGCCGATCCTCGTCCTAAATGGCAGAAATTAGATAGAGAAGAAACAGAAATTGTGAAGTAAATCAAATAAGCACAGAATCCAAACCTGAGAAGAGAGAGATGAGAAGGAGGAGAGAGAAGAGAAGGCGGAGAACAAAATCCATCATATTGATAATGATTCAATTATAAGGTGAAAGGGAAATTGTTGCAGGCGTTTGATTACTGGATCGTATGCTTTTACAACGTTAAGCGGTGGCCGGCGGAGATGCCGCTTATTCTTGTAAGCTTGAATACAATCGGTGAAGACTCGACAATATATATATATATATACGTAATGTTTAACGACAAACGAACCACATCACTTTGGACCATTGTTTTTCATCCTTAAATGAATAATTTGGTAATGTTTTTGTTTCTAGTTTATTTTTCTATTTTCAAATTTCTATATATAGAACCGTTGTATAATTATTATCGTTTTTAGTTTCTCATATGAGCACGACCGTTCAAAAAGTATTAGCCAATTTGGGACTCCCAATTTTTTTTTTTTTTTGTCAAAGATATCCTTTAGTTTATACACTTAGTTTTAATGTTTTTTTTTTCTCTTGTAAAATCTTGTTTTGTTCTTATTCCATTTTTGTTTTGTTTGGGAATTTTTCTTAATTCAATGAATGCGCGGATCACGCGACGATATGGAAGAACTACAACTCACCTACTAATTTCCTCCAAATGAAATGATATTTTTTTAAGTGTGATTATGGTAATCATAATACTAAACCCATGGTTAACTTCTCCTTAAGCTTTGTGCTCCAGTAGTTTTTTCATATCATTGTCAGCCTGATCAGGCCGTTGAACTACAATGATCAACCACCTCCATTAAAAAAAAAAAAAAAAATCGACTACTTAAGCTTAATTAAAAACAAAAAGTTTAATCTTTATTTAGGACCGAAAGTGAAAATTAAGTTTATTTATTTCAATTTAGCATTTGAATTTAATTTAGATTTTGAATTCACTAGAGAGATATTCATTTAATTGGTGAGACTAGTTTCGAACAGGTGTACAATTCTCATTTAGATATAAACGAACGGAGTGTAGAGAGATTTTTTCACCAAGAACGAGATTACTTCGCCTTTTACACTTTCTTGAAAATATTGGAACCCACTAGGTTTGAGCTGGAAGCTGTCTCTTGATCCATTCCTATGAATTATGGACCCCTTTTTATAAAAAAGCTTTAACTCACACTTTGAATGTATTATTATGTTTTAATAATATTGTATTTTAATAATTTTCATACGTGCGAATTGATGTGATGTTTTTATATTATTTTTTTAAGCGATTTTTCTCAATACATAAAAAAAGTAGCGATGGTGGTGATTCCGCGAACAATTTTCATTCCCGCTCCCCACGAACGAGAATCGCCTCGCGACAAAAGCTATGCGCTCAGAAAGCTGCAAATGCTCGCTCACAGAATTCGCGGTGAGAGACTGAGGATTTCGCTTTTCCATGGCTACTAATTCTCATTTTCCCTCATTCTTCTCTCTCTCTTCTCCCAATTTTTCCTTCCTGGATCAACTGCAAACGCGGAATCACCACAACAAGCTGCTTCACTGCTTCGGCTTCCATCAGCACCGTCCTTCGAGAAGAGAGTACTCCGTTTGTGCTTGTTCTATCAGGAATTCCAGGTTTTTCTACCTCCATTGCGTTTGGTTTCTTCGTCATTTCTGGCCTCCTTTTCCGTGGTATGAGGTGTATAATTTTTCGTATTTAGTTTTGATTTTGTGGTGGAAATTTTGTGATTCAGAGCTAGTAGAAGGACAAAGAGTAATGAGGAACTCTGCAATGACATTCGCGAGTTCATTGAATCGGTCGGACTTCCGAAGGATCACGTACCTTCCACAAAGGACCTATTGCAGCACGGAAGGTTCTTTTTTGTCTGTTCAGTGTTCTCGTTTTCGTGTTAAATGGAGTTGCATGATTTATGATTCTAATTATAAATTCTGAAACTAGAATGAGAAAAAGATGTGGAGAGGCATATAAGGTTTCTGAACACCTCTTCTCGTGTTTTACCTTAGCAAGCTCGAGGTGTAGTGTTCTCTTTTGGAGCACTTTTGATGGTTGTTGATTAAATGCTTAGTTTGAATGCATTCAGGATTGACCTGGCGAATATCGTCAGACGAAGGGGCCACAAACTTATACGAGAGCTTCTTGTTACCAACTCAACCAATACAGTTCAAACTGATTGTGACTTAGAGAACGTTTTCCTGACAGGTTAATACATGATTCTTCAATCCGTCTGTGTTAATAAATCACGATTTCTAGTTCGAATATTTGATAACCTTCTATTTCTCAAAAGGCCAGGATGGCGAGGTGAAAGATGTAGTTGAAGAGCTTTCTTCACCAAACAAAGTTCCGGTCTTGGAAAATCTTTCTCCCAGTTCAAATACCAACCACGCTTTTAGTTCCAATGAATATATTTTGGCTCCTACAAGTACAGCCGATTTATCAGTGGTGGAAGAGCTGCCAAATGATCACATATGTCATGACGAATACAACGAATCTCATAGTGAAAATAATGAGAACATGGAGAAAGTTGAAGATGATACATCCTTGAAAACTGAAGTCACCGTTTCAGTAGATTCTTTTAGTAGTTCAAATATTGGTTCAGACGTTACAAGTCATGACTTCACTGGAGAGCAAACTGAATTTACTAAGAATTTTTCAGTGGAAAATCCTGATTCACTGGAGTGTCGAAGGGAGGTAATAGACAATATGGTTGATGAATCTTCCCAGTCACCCGAAGTCCTTTCTGGTGAGAATTATATGATAAATTCCACTGTTGATGAATATCTCGACATGCATGACCCTGATGACAAAACTCTGCTATTGACAACTGGTTCCTCCTCAAAGGAAGAGGCCTCGTATTGTTCAAATGAACAGCTAGATAAAGTAGATAACAATGTTGATGATATCTCCTTATCGCCAGAAATGACTGTCATGGATGACCAATCTAGTGATTTAAATATTGATAAAGGTCTTGAACATGAAGAGTCTAATTACAAGTTGATAAAATATTCAGAGGGGTTGTCCCTAGCAGAGAAGGTGGCTAGATTTATTCAAAATGGAGATCTGGATATGATAGATGGTAAGTTGCATCGACTATTAATTTTAGAGTGTCAACATAAATTTCTATATGGATGCTGTAGATAATTTTCCAACGTCATCTGCAGCATCAATTAGCATTCTGTATGATATGGAGAAGCACACAGTTCAACAGCACAGGCTACATAGTTTTGCATTTAGAACCATTAGAGTTGTATTTTGTATGATTGGGTTTTTAAATCAACATCAATGGTGTTGTGGTCACAACTCACAATAAAAAACGGTGCCTTAATGCTTATGTTTGGAATCAATCATACTTGTTATCATCTGATGCAAAATCAGAATATCTTTTATAATTGTTGTCCAAACTTAGATGAACATTGATAGTCGTGAAGTCTTTGTTACGTTTCTCACTTTAGCTACAAATTCTTATGTACACTGTAATGTGTTAATTTACTTGAGCTTCGGTTACTTCATAATAAATAAGGTTTAGATTTGGTTTATAGAGGATTAGAAAATTACATTGTCTATTGAGAAATTTTATGTTGGAGGAAATTTCTCTGTACATCTCACCCTCCGGTTGGTCAGCTTCACTGTGATTCTTGTGATTGACAATGTGTAATTTCTGTAGCAGTGAAAGCTGATGCTTGTAATGTATGTCTTCGTAAAATTTGTGATCTGTATTTCCAGGAATTTGATGTTAGAGATAATTTCATTTCTTATTTAAGTATTATGTTGCTGTGCATATTCTTTTCAAGTCCCACTAGTTTCAATGTCTTCGCATAAATAAAAACACTCTCTCAAGTATTATCCTGCTTTTGCCTTATATAATCTGGTGCTTCTGAAAACTTGAAGTTGAGCACGTGACAATGCATTGATGCTCAGATAATTTCGATGCCACATTAAGCGAGATCGGAGCTGGAGAAGGCAATGGATCCCTTACAGCCGTCAATGCAGAAGAATCTGAAATAAACTCCCATGTTGAGGCATCCTCAGAAGAAACCACAAATAGAGGTTCTGTGATGGCATCAAATGGGAGTGTATCAGAATTTGAGCATGTTATATCTTCCACAGCTGTTGGTCAATTAATTAGGTTAGGAATTCAAACAGCAAGACTGCCATATTCAAAGTCTTTTATGTGATTTTCTGTCGTCTTTGTGGTTGCCTAAATGATAGTTTTTTATACCAAAAAAATATCCAAGTTTCATCAGACTTGCCATGCCCTCTTTGGAATTTGATCACCTTTCTAAATCCATATCATTTGACACTATTTGTAGGGACGATCAACCTTCAACTGAAGCTCCAAATGATCAAATTGACAAGGTCTTGGGCGCTGAGGTACATACACTTCATCAAGAATGTTACTAAGATATTGACAGATCCAAGCAATTGAATTTCCTGACATTTTTTTAAAGAGTTTTCTCTCTCTATGGTACAGATAAAAATAAATGAGAATCAAGTTGACATTGATCGTCTCAAATTTATGTTGGTATGGGTTTATATTTCATCTGCTTCAAATATCTTGTGCTGAAGTTGAAATCTGATGTTTCCCACTCCATCTCTTTTTTATCTTTAGCATCAGAAGGAGCTGGAACTTTCTCAGTTGAAGGAACAGATTGAGAGGGACAAGGTATATCATATATGACTTTTTCTTCATGGTTATTCAGTGTAAAGTTTTCATAATCTGATGCATATGAAATCAATTCTTTTAAATAATTTCTACCAGTAGATAGGGCAATTGGCATTAATCTTTGTTATAAAGGCCTCAATTCTACTTACCATTCTATTTGTGCACCAAAAACCATTGTAAATAATCTGCATAATGATTAGTTAAGGATTCCATAGGGTTTGAAAATTTAAAAATCTACTGCAAAAATACCCATGCTGGATAAATTTTATATAATTGCTCTCCTCCCAATTGTTAACTTACTTTCACCAAATTCCTAATCTGTGTTTATCTCATTTCTGTGCTAACACGCCGTAAGGTAAGATATGTTTTTGTTTCATTTTTTATATCATCGAGTGGTCCGATACTGTCATGGATTTTTTAAAACTTATGGGCTCAAGGTTTCTTAATGTTTAATTTCTTTTATTTGCTTTTAGTTAATTTACCGATCTGTTTGGTATCCACAGTATTCAAGATTTAAAGAGATTTGTTCACCTAACAGTTTTTGTGGTTTTATCTTGTGCTTATGTTTTTGCATCCGTGCTTGATTTTTCTTTTTAGTTATTACTACTTATTTTTCTGTTTATATGTTTATTCCACTGCCAGCTTGCTTTGTCTGCTTTGCAAAGCAAGGCTGAAGCAGAGATCAGCAAGGCCCAAAAACTCATTTTAGAAAAAGATACGGAGTTAGTTGCTGCTGAAGAGAGTCTTTCTGGATTGGAGGAGGTACGTATCTGGCTTCTTTTCTAGTTGTAATGTTAAAGATCATACATATCTTAGGATCCTTTAACTCTGCGCATATTACATTTTTCTTCTGTTCTTTTTCATTCCCTTTTCTCTTTGGTGTCTCGAGCACACAAAATGCTTTTGTAGTTATAACCTAGGTCAAACTCCAAGATTGGTAGGCGGTGCTTCATTAGCTGCTGTTACCTTTCCTTGTCTTTTAATACATCTTTTGCTTCTTATTAAAAAGAAAAGAAAAGAAAAAGATATAAAATGTTTATTAGCATGTACCATAGAATGTTCTTTTCACTTGATTGTTGATATGTTGTTGAGAGAGTTAATAGTGAGGAATATCATTACAAATATCAGCACCTTCTGTAAATGCAAGGTGTTATCAGCTGAACAAAAAATAGAACTATGGTTTTGGCTTTCCTTTTTAGGATCCTTATGACTGCTGACTGAAGCTTGATGTCTGATTTATCAGGTTCACATCCATTACGGTGGGGAAGGAGAAATTGTTGAGGTAGCCGGTAGCTTCAATGGTTGGCACCATAGGATTAAGATGGATCCACAACCATCGTTCAATGTCTTGGACTCCATTAATTCAAAGTTAAGTTCTTTCCATCTTTTAGCTGATTTCCGAAGATATTCCTGCAAATATGTCATTGCAAGTTAATGACATTATAATTTAGTACACAAGTGATTGGAAAGGATTCTTATCTTTGGATTGGTTCTAAATTTTATAAGTACTTCAATTAATTAACTCTAATTTTATTTCGACTTTGAAAATGAGAGTCAAAGACTAAAATATAAAGAAAGGAAGAAAGACAAGGATTCTAGAAGTTAGATGTTCAATGTCAATTCCCTAAAGTCTTGCCAATTAATTTTCTTTTTAGTTCTCTCTTGTTTACAGAGCATAAGTTCTCGATCCTCTAACTAGCTTTCTCGACTGTCGAATTCTGATACCCCAAGGTTCAATTGCTTAGGGTGCCTCGAAATGTTGTACCTGCACCTACTTCCTCCGCTAGGTAGATGGGTTTGGGTAGCTTGGTTCACTACAAAAAAATTATTCAGGTGTGGGTGGTATTTCAGTCTGCCTCAAATACTTGACTTCGTTTACCTTTGTTCGACCAGTAGGGAAGATTTAGTTGCCCCCTCTGTCATTTGTCAATACAACCAGGAACAAAGTTGAAACTGTTAGACTTGGATTTTAGTGATAAAGTATTCCTTTGCCTGTCAAGAATATTCTCATCTTCATGTCCCCTTGTTGAACATATAAGCTGACAATGGTAATGTTTTCCAGGAAACCCAGGCTTTGGTCAACAGTGTTGTGGCTTTATCCTGGAGTTTACGAGGTGTGAAAATCCTTGTGTTTATTACTATTATACCTTTTGTTAAGCCGTTAGTCTGATTCTTTTTTTCTTTTAATTTTAAATTTTCTTAGTTAGTCTGTTAATTATATTTTGTTTTGAATGTATTGTTAGGTAACATGTGTCTTGTTTGAGAGGGCTGCGTTTTTCCTTATATGTGCAGCTGCTTCCTTCATTTTTGCTGTTGAAATCAACACGATGAAACTGCCAGCATCTCTGTTTTGATCATTTAGTTATACCTATTTATGTTGTGGGAGTTCAAAATTTGCCTATTGGCGGCTCAAGAACGTTTAATCTTTTAGACTTTTGCATATCTCTTATCTCATTTTATTCATGATAGAAAAAAGTCTATATTTCGTTTTGTTTTTAAGAGGATGCTTTATTTTCCCTCTTTATATTAATTTCTCATAATATAATCTTTTACTTTCTATACTTCTGTATGTACATTAAGTCAGAGTAGTTGGGTTGGATACAAGGGTAAAGACTTTTATTCAACTAGGTAACCGGTCATGAGTTGAAAACCTTTTGCTAACCACGTATTTGATCGAGAACCTTACTAATTTTCTCTTTCCAACCTCTTGCAGATAAAATTTGTTGTCGATGGACAATGGAAGATTGATCCTCACAGAGAGTCGGTGATCAAGGGAGCAATAAGTAACAACATCCTCCGGGTTTGCAGATGATACTATGATGGAAAATCACATAAAGTAATTAGCGCCTTAGGTATTTGATTATCTACCTTTTTCAGTTTCTTATAAATTCAATCTGGGTATTTTTGGCTGGCATACTTTTCTTCACATTCGGCATAAAAGTCATAAACCTTGCAGTGCAAGCTCATTTTTTAGCTGATGGAAATTTTGGATAATCTTTGTTTCAAAGAAGTCCCTTTGATGGGATCACAGGATCCAAAAATCTTCCCCTAGAATCCCTCATTTTTTTTCCCTTTTTCTTTTTTAACGAGAGAAACATTAATTCCTTTTTCCTTGGTATGCATCTACCCGATAAATGTAGTGAAATCCTTTTTTATGGAGCTTCTTTTGATTCCTTACTTTCTTCAAGTTATTGAGATTTTACCGGAAAATCTACATTTTTTTTTCCTTCGCTCTTTATTTTAGCAGAATCACCCCATTTTGTTCTACTTCCATTTAATAATGGAGACAGTTCAGATGGGTCACTAGGATGAATTTGTGATGACCTTTTTTTTTTTTTAAAGAATGCTTTTGAGTGAAAGTATTTCTTATTAAACACTTCTGGAAGAAGCACACTTCTTTTTCAACATCACTTCGAAATTCTGAAACGTATTTTACTAGGCTAAAAATGCTTCTTACCGTCTCAGAAATATCTCATCCTCCTACTTCTGGAGCTTCTTTTCTTTTCTTAATTCATCTGTAATTATTCTATATCCTTTTCCTTCTGCCCAAAGTTCTTTTTTTGGGCCCAAAATTTTGTATTTAAGAAAGAAAAAAAATTTGTTCTTCGCATTCATCTTCCTACCAGTGCCCCTTTGACCAGTCAGATAAAATCTTTTAGGACTTCATATATCTTTTACCATGTTTCGTATGACTGAATGGCATGTCAGCATATTATTTCAAATACAGTATTGAACTCAAGGACACGATTGTATAACCTATAAAACCGATCATGTTCAAGCAAAGTCATAATAAGCTAAACCTGCTGCATACTGAACACTAATGTGATAAAAAGTCATGAAAAACTTTGCCCATATAGACTTGCTTCCAGCTGATCTGTAGTGATATTTTCATTACTTTAACCTCAGTTGCAGGCACAAGAACGAACTTTCACAAAGTCGTGTACGGTCGACAGTAACGAGCCTACCTGCTTACATATGGGGCACATGAACCCTGTTTCTTCTGGGGGGCTATTTCTACTTGTCGGACGAATTGAAAGATAAAAAGGGTTCACTTGTAATGTAATCATGTATGTGCTTGTGTATAGCAGCTACTTTTTAATACATTGCTTGGTTTGTTATGCCAAATAGGGTAGAATTCATGGATGTTGCCATCAGTGAGATGGGCATATCGAGGAATCTACATCTGCAGCAATTTTGAAACACTACCAGAGGTCCAGATTCTCTGATTCCCAATTTTGAAGGTTAGCTTCATTCTTAGTTGTACACATTTACCGTTGTTGTTTAAAAATTTTCATTTCTATCATGGACCTTTAAAACTCTACACATATTTTTGAACCATTTATTGTTAAAAAGAAGCAAGGGAAACTAACGACTATTGAGTTATAAACCTGGTAAATGTATATTGAAAAGTAATTGGCCAGTGGTGATCCACAGTTCCCACATTTGCCATTAAATTTATTAAAAACCACGTCTACAATTGTTTCATCCAAAACTCAATTTCTATCATATGTAAAATTGTTTTAAAATAGTTTTCAATTATCCAAAACATAAACTTGATGATTTTCTAATTAAAATGATGAGGGAAAATTCACACGTGATTTGATGTTTACAACATTATTTATGTAACTTTCTATCAATATGTTTTATTAATTTCTAAAACTAAATTTAAATATATTTAAAGATATATATATAAACTAATAGATTAAAATTGAAGTCAAAAAATATTGAAGTCCCTACTAATAAAATATTGGGTCCACCACCTAGAATGAATGTGAGCAGTACGAGCGTGTCTCTTTCTGGACCTTTCCCTCCATTTCTTCTACACTTTTTCAGTCCTCTCTCTCTTTCATTCAAAATCCAATCTCCGTTTCTCTGCAGCCGTAAGCCACGCTCCAAGCATCGTTATCTCTCTCCATGGCTACGCTAACTGGAGCTTCTTCTTCTTCTTCTTACATGTGCTTAACCAAGGTATTACCCCCATTCTCTTCCACTTCATTCCCCATTTTGTTGCCATATCTTTCCAAGGTCCCTCGCGATTCTCCTTTCTCTTTGGCTTCCCCTGTGACTGGAAGGAGAAAGGTTCGTTTCAATCCCTCTTTTGCTCGGGACCGCGAGTTCGGCGATTTGGTGGAGACGAGGGAGACGAGGGAGACGCGTTTGTACTCTCTCGCGCCTTTTCCTCTACTGTTCGTCGCTGCTCTTCCTGGAGGTACTTGCTCATTTCTGTTGCTCTTCTGTGGTTTGAATCCTTTCGATGTTGTCTTGAAACTGAGTGCTTGGTTGCTGTTTGTAAGTCTTCTTCTGCAGTCGACGTTTACTGTATCTTCCTGATGTTAGAATGATTTGTATTTTACTTGACCTTAAAAACTGTTCTCGATGTCTTAGTGGTATTACGAAAGGAGAATTTGTTATTGCTCTGAAATTACGAGATTGATTCGAAGAAACTTGTTTTCATGCTCACACTAACTCGAGAAAAATCATGCGAGAGAAAGTGAATTGATCTTCTTGATGAATTCTGTGTTCTTCCAGGCACATTTTGCCTGGACTGAAAAGATTGGTAACACAAGTGCTAATCCATCAAAATTTCAATACCTAAGAATGCTGCATCTATTTGTCAATGAGGTACAGTGTATCAAGGAATTTATGCAGTTCAGGTCAATCTTGTTTACACTTTTTAGGCTAACGAATGTTCGTACAATTGAATCCTGTGTCTGCGATGAAGAATTTTATGCTCATTCATGAGGAAGGAAGCATTATATTTCAATTTTGGACTAAAGTTAATTTTCAATAGATTCACTTTTCCCAATACTGTTAATCTCCATTTGTTGGCCCCTTCGAGAGTTGATAGTCTAGGTTTCCCAGCTGGCGGTTTCAAAGTAAAGAAAGCAAGATTCAATTCCATTTGGTGGACTAGTTTCATTCTGACTGAGACGTCAGATATTCTGTTGGATGCAAATTATAAGAACAATTGAAAATAAGAAACCAAACCTCTAAGAAGTTTGGAATGTGGGTTAGATTTTCTAGTAGCCAACAGTTGACCCGTTTTGGTTTTCGCTCACTGAAGAGTTTTTTTTTTTTTTTTTTTTGGTAAAAAGAAATACGCATGTTCCTTGGCATCTCTTCATAGGACGTCTTGTTCTTCCTCTTGTCTATATGTTCGTGATTTACAAGTGTAGTAAAATGTTTCTTGTCTTAGACATATGCACATGGAAAGTACAAATAGAAAATATTTTTCTTTTCATTTCTTCCTTTTAATTGAGGCGAGACGCAATCTTGGGTCACATGTCATGAACTTGAATATCTAAATGACAGCGGGAACTGTGAGGTCTCTCTTTGGTCCTTTTGTCGAGCTTGTTAAATCTTGGAATCTTCCTGAATGGCTGGTACATTGGGGTCATCCAGGCAACATGGTAAGTTCTCTTTTGTTTTGCTTCTTGGGTAATAATAGTATAGATCCAAATTACTGTTACAATGACTTTCTAATTTGAGTTGTGTCCTGATTAGGCTGTTGTGCTCTTCGCCATGGGTGGCTATGGAACATATTTAGGTTTCCGAATCCGTTACTCTAACGATGTGGTATGAATTAGCTTCATAACTTTTCTGCAATTGCCGAGGAATTCTGCATTCGCAACTCAACGACATCTATTATTTGAACTGATGCAGGAGGAGAAAGCCAATGCCAAAGACTTGCATCCAAAGCTTCTTGGTGGAATGTTCTTCTTTTTTGCTCTTGGAGCAACAGGTGGAATCACTTCTCTACTTACATCAGACAAACCTATATTTGAGAGGTACAGTGATAAACCAATTCCCTTACCCTTACTCCTCCTGATCAAAAGGACATTGTTATAATCTCAATTGTCATAATGTGTCCGAACGCCAAACTACTTTATACAACTTTTAACTCGTGCCATAAGCTGCCATAAGTTGATTGTTTCTATGAATAATTTTGGATGGCAGTTGCCTCAATGTCAAACAGTTATTAACAGTTCATATGAAGCACTCCCATGAAGGCTTGTTAACTATTTTATAGACCTACCATAAGTTCCAAGGACCAAAATTTTCAGCTTAGACAAAAGGCAACTGTCAATACATCGTAACTTATGCTTTCGTCTTTTCTATAGTCCACATGCTGTAACGGGATTCATCGGCCTCGCACTCTTGACTTTACAATCTCTTCTGCCTTCACTTTTTGAGGTAACGATCAATGCTTAACCTTCTTTTCTCTACTTGTTGTCCTCTCATTGTTATCCTCGTTTGCAGGATAATCCTGGGCTGAGGAATATTCATGGTATTTTGGGGAGTGGAATCATGACACTGTTTCTCATCCATGCTGCACTTGGACTTCAACTTGGCCTCAGTTCCTAAATCATAGCTGCAAGTAAAGCACCACGTAGGTTGTTGTTTTGAATTTTTCAGTACAATCTCCTTTCATAGGAAGCCTCCATGCAGTCCTTTCAGATTAGGAAAACTTCATATTACTGCCTTTTCCTCAGATCAACCAGGCTGCCTTTCTTGTTCACAGTATATTCATTATTCTTCTAAATTTTAATAAATTTATGTTGGGGCCTCTCAATTCTACCTGTTCCTTTTCATGCTGTTGGCGTTCATGTGTGTATGAAAGCATAGATGGTTTGAACTTCTAAGATAGCTTGGTTTCTTAGATCCTTTTCGTGGTCATTCGGTTCTGATTCCTTTTCTTTGTGCAAACTTTTAATTTGGACCCAAAGTCATTTAGGGTCGAATAAGCTCGATCGATCATTTTGTGTCTTATAAGTTATTGATTTATTCTAATTCATGAATTTATTAAATACAAATTAAAACTGGAATGAATTAAACATTAATACGAAATTTCACTTTTTAATTTTTAGAGGCCATGGACTAATTTGATGGTTGAACCTATATGAAATGACCTACCATCCTTTATAATTCCTGTTTGTCTCACCAACCCCACAAAAATTGAATATTAATCAACGGGAGAAGCATTATGCAAAAATGTCCAATTCCAGGTCAAAAGTGAGCTCATTTCAACAGTTTGACCATTCACCAAAAATTTGCATGTGATTCTATAAGAAATTAGGTTGGTTTATAAAAGATTTTACTAACTATTTGATTCACAAATACATAAACATATTCAATGAGAGATTTAATAGTTTTTCTTTTATCCTTTATTTATTTTATGTCGAACTACAAATTTCGAACATTAAAAACTACAAATTTAGACGTGGAGCTTTCAATTTCTTTTTTTTTTTTTCAATTCATAGATCTAATAAGCAGATAAAATTCAAATTTATATTTAATAGATAAATTAATTTTAAAAAATTCTCTAATTTATCATTAAACAATTAGACACAAAGTGGAGCGTCTATTCTTATATGGGGTATGAATTGATGGTAGTTGAGAAGAGTGGAACACAAGTGATTAGGCAGTTGAAAGCTCCCTAAAATTGCGAGGGAAGAGCGATTCTTTCGAATTGGGAATTCGGACTTCCAATCCTTCCATCCTTCTATAAATCTTCATACTTCCTTGTTCTTTCAACTTCCTCCTCTTTAATTCATCCTTTTCAAGCTTCGAATTCCTCAGGACTTTTCTTCAATTCAGGTATCTCTGTTTTTTTTTTTTTTAGAAACAATTCCAATCTTCCATTGTTCTTGATTTCTTTACTGTCTCTCTGGTTTAGCGACTCCCTCTATATGATTATTACGTTTTATTACGTATTTGTTTCTACATTTAGATGATTTTTGTACCAAATGTCGATTCGTCTGCTCTTATCGATCCTTTATGAACTAAACTTGATCTAATCGGAAGTATCTGCTGATTGATTTGTGGTTGATGTTTTGTAGACCTAGTTTTTGAAATGATCGCATTTTGTTTTTGATTCTGTTTCCGTTCCTTCCAATACAATGCTGATTCGGTTTGGTTCGAAAACCAACTCTTTGGCACTATTTGTATCAGTCGATAATGGATACCTTCCTCTTCACTTCTGAGTCTGTCAATGAGGGCCATCCCGACAAGATCTGCGACCAAGTTTCCGATGCTATTCTTGATGCGTGTCTTGAACAAGATCCCGAGAGCAAGGTTGCTTGTGAGACCTGCACCAAAACCAACATGGTCATGGTGTTTGGTGAAATCACAACCAAGGCCAACGTCAACTATGAGAAAATAGTTAGAGATACTTGCAGGGGAATCGGATTCGTCTCGGCCGATGTCGGTCTCGATGCTGACAACTGCAAGGTACTTGTGAATATTGAACAACAGAGCCCTGACATAGCACAAGGTGTCCATGGACACTTGACCAAGAAACCTGAGGAAATTGGAGCTGGTGATCAAGGCCACATGTTTGGTTATGCTACAGATGAAACCCAAGAGCTCATGCCACTCACTCATGTCCTTGCTACTAAACTTGGTGCCAAGCTTACTGAGGTCAGGAAGAACCAAACCTGCCCATGGCTTCGACCTGACGGTAAGACTCAAGTGACTGTCGAGTACAAGAATGACAATGGAGCCATGGTCCCCGTTAGGGTCCATACTGTTCTGATATCAACCCAACATGATGAAACTGTATCAAACGAAAAGATTGCCACTGATCTGAAAGAGCATGTCATAAAACCAGTGATACCTGCTAAGTATCTCGATGACAAGACTATCTTCCATCTCAACCCATCTGGTCGTTTTGTCATTGGAGGACCTCATGGTGATGCAGGGCTAACAGGAAGGAAGATCATCATTGATACCTATGGAGGGTGGGGTGCTCATGGTGGTGGTGCATTCTCAGGGAAGGATCCAACCAAGGTAGATAGAAGTGGTGCCTATATTGTTAGGCAAGCAGCAAAGAGTGTCGTGGCTTCGGGACTTGCTCGTCGCTGTATTGTGCAGGTTTCTTATGCAATAGGAGTAGCAGAACCTCTGTCAGTGTTTGTAGACACCTACAAAACAGGAAAGATCCCTGATAAAGATATCTTAGTCCTCATTAAGGAGAATTTTGACTTTAGGCCTGGAATGATTGCAATCAATCTTGACTTGAAGAGAGGAGGAAAGTTTAGGTACCAGAAGACGGCTGCTTATGGTCATTTTGGCCGTGAGGACACAGATTTCACTTGGGAAACTGTAAAGCTCCTCAAACCAAAAGCCTAATTAGCTCAACTTGATGTCTGCAAGTGATCGTCACAACCATTAATGTGCTTGCAGGAAAAATAAAGAAGCTTTTTTCCTTTTTTTTTCTTCTTGTGTTTCTGTAAACTCAGTGAGAAGCGTGGCTGAGTTCCACCAGCTCTCCGATTAGCTGAGGCAGCCCTGTCCTGAGTTTGTACAACTTGAATTCCTCTATGTTGTTCTCTATTAATTTCATTTGGCATTTTGATTTAGAATTATACCCTTATTTCATTCTGTGCCTTCTATATTTGGATTTGAAATTCTGGAGTTGATCATGAACAAGTATAGGTCTTATCAGTTAACTTTAGTGTGTATGCCATCCTAAAACTACTGATGATAAGAATCTACCTATCTTGCCTTTAGGAGTGCAACCAAAACCTGCCTTGCAGCTGTGTTCTTCCCCAGCATCAAACATCTCATCTACTCATCTCATCTATATTTAGGGAATGATCATGGGTTTATAATAAAAAATACTCTCTCTATTGGTATCAGGCCTTTCAAAGAAGCCCAAACCAAAGCCATGACAATTGGTATCTATCTTAACATCTCATTTACTCCTTCACCGCGTCGGGTTGTGACTGTGTTGAGTTGTTTCGGCCATTCATCAATATTTGCGTAGATGAAAGAACCCTTTGGAAAGTTCTTACCCAGCCAACAGAATGTTGGAAGAATCCACTAAGCCCTGCAGGTTCTATATATATATATATATATATCAGCAAACCAATGCATGAGCTCTTAGAAACTAGAAACTGAGATATAATTTTGGCACCAGATTCTATCAACTACCAACTTTGTTGGTTAGTTTAAACATTAATCCCAACAATGGAATCTTGAAAATCAAACAATCAAGTGCCCAACAGAACTTCAAAATTGGGGAAATGGGACACAAACTTTATGGGGTATAAGGAATCTTATAGTGGTTTTGAAGAAACAACACAGAATATTCTCTCTATAATTTTTCATCACGTCGGTATATGATGATGATGATCTCAACATACATTTTCCTATATGATTTAGAAGTTGAATTATTTGAATCGAGAAAGGGATTAGAATTTAAAACTCAAATAATTGGATTAAGTGTGATTACAATTTAAAATAACTCTCTTCAATCACAATCTCTACCCATAATTTCACGTTGTATTAATTTAAAAAATTTATTGTGACCTCTCTATTATTGGAAGGGCTGGTTTCCTTAAATGCCCCTTTCTTTTCTCTCATTTTCAAAACTACGTACATTTAGAATGTCAATTTGTAGGGACATTTAAATAATTCAATAAATAATTGCCCAACTTTTTCTTTTTCTTTTCTCTTCTTTTACAAATATCTCCCTGAACTTGCATGCATATAAATTTGGTATATGACGTTTTTTAAATTATTTTTTTTTATTTTAAAATTTAGTTGCAAAAATAATATAAATTTGGTCTTATGGTTTGGACTTTATTTTCAACTTGGCTCCAAAAATTAAAAAATTTAAGTTAAGAGTTAGACATATATCTATAAGAATACAAATGGCCAAATTGTCAAATTGGAATTTAAGATAACAATTATTATTATTTTTTTTTTTTTGTTAACTATGTTTACTCTCACATAGAGAAAGACATTTGACTTTTGAAGTCAAAAATTTGTCTCGAGAATAGTAAGAAAATCTCCATTTAAATTGAAAATAGGGGAGGGGTGAGATAATCTTTCTTCAACTAGATAGGGCCGAAGATAGATAGAGACTTACCACATTAACATGTTTTATTTCTTTTTAATAAAATATTATTGAACATTATATTGAACATTATATTGTATTTTTGTATGAAATATTATTGAATTTATTAACATGTTTTATTTCTTTTTAATAGAAACTATCCATTAATTTCTTTTTTAAAAAATTGAGAAAAAATTATAAAAATAAATAGGAAAGGAAGCTACAACGAAACCACATTAATTAACCCACTTAGAATTTGATTAAAATTATAAGAACCAAATTAGTAATAATTTCATTAAAAACAACAAGATGTTATAAAAAGAATTTATAAATTATAAATAAAAGTAGAAAAGGACAAGAATCCAAACACAAACCCTAAGACAAGAGAAGGTGAAAGGAAAAGACATAGCTATCCTTGTAGAATGTGGGCCCCACTCCTAGTTAGGGTTCATCCACTCAAAGGGAGTAGGGTCACTTTAGGGAAAGGAAGCATCATGGAATTAGCTCCCAGAGAAAGGGGGAAACAAAATACCACTTTCTAAGCAAAAATTATTATTATTTTCATAAATTTAACCATGAATATTAATATTTATTTATGGAGTTATCAATGGATGAAATTGAAATAAAATGGTTAATATTTTCATAAAAAAGATTACCCATTTTAATATTTAAAACAATAAAATCAAAAAATGCTATTTAATTTGAACTAAAACTTTATAAATACTTTCAAAAAAAAAAAAAAAATTGAAAAAGATGGTCGAAATTTACAAGTCCTTCCGTTATAAATTTAGAGGTTCTTGCACTATAAATTTATGAAAATGATAATGCAAACTTTCTAGTGTCCTCAAGTCGGAAAAATGACCTATAAATAAATATCTTTTTTGTTTTATTAAATAAATAGGACCCAATAATAAGAGAAAAAGAAATTTAATTTGCTTTATGATCAATCAAAGGTCCCTCCTTCACATGCTCCAATTGGGTTATGTTGAAATGTCAAATGTATATCTCTATTGCTTCTAGTCAAAAAAAAAACAAAACAAAAAAAACAAAAAAAAAAACCCACTTTTTCTTCCATTATGGCCCTAAACCTTTTTCATTTACACCACCAACCCCAAATTCCAAATATTTTACTCTTTTTCCCCTTTACGAAAATAAATTAATTATAATGTTTAATATACGGGGGACGATCATTTATTATGAGTAGGTAATGAATTACGTGTAAGTGACAAATCAACCGAACTTAAGCTCTTGCATGGAAAGAAATTTATTGTCGGTAAGACTTTTTTCATAGGGTTTCTCGTGTGAGTTGAGTTCAGTTAGATTATGACAAGTTTTAGATTCAACCAAATTGTTCTGGGTAAATTGTTTCTCCAATCCATCCAGAACTAACTTAATCCAACCATAAATTTTTTTTTGTTGGTTGTGTTGCATTGGGTTGTTTGAGTTATTTATTCAATTTTTTTTTAATCAAAGTAAAATATATGTTTATTTGTTTTTAATTAAGAATGGTACAACATTATGAAATTATTTTTTAAATTTGTTAAATATATATAATTGTATAGAAAAATTATATTCTGTTTTTAAATTAACATGAAACCACCTAATTTTAAGAAAACTTATGAAAGAACACAATCATAAAATTTGCCATTTATTTGAATCAGATTCAAATAAGTTTATAACTCATTATATATTTTTTAAAAAATTAAAAAATTAAAAAGTATTAATTAAAAGATATTTTTAAAAGTTTAAAAATATTTTTTAAGACAAAATATAATAATTTCTAAACTTGCCTTTTTTTTTCTTTAAATATAAGAATATTATAAACTTTTTAAATTTTAAAATAAAACACAAAGCTAGATGTATTTTTATTACAAGTATTTGTATATAATAATTAATTAAAATCATGCAATATTTATAGACATCACTGACTTTGTCTTGAATTTTTTAAAAAAATTAAAAAATAATAATAATAATAAATATTGGACCAATAAGATTCTCATAATGGAGGCGGTTGAATTTGAAATTAGAAAATCATTAATATTTATTATAGAAAATAATTAATGATGTTGATATGTATAAATAATGTCAAACTATATATCTAAGACTCTTTGTGAATCACGCCTAAAGGATAATGAAAATATATTGCATAAATTGGACTATACTAATGTTTAATTTAAACTAACTATATATTTTATTTTATTTTATTTTATTAATGCATGGGTGGTGTTCGATTCTCAAAAAAATGTGTATTTAAATTCAAAAATATTGGTCAGTTCAGCGTGAAAGTGAATATTTCATTAGGTTATGTATGAATGTTCGAAAATATTCGCCTCGCTACTATTTTCAGTACATTATTTTAATATTTATATTTAGAAAAAACATGTGGCATGACTTATGATCTCGAGCTTTATAATATCGCTAATATTTGTATGATGTATAAACTACATTAAATTACAAGTGTGTAAGTCCTAAGTTTTTCATGCTTTAGTATCCTCTGAATTATTTATGTTATGTGGTTTTTTCACTAACTCTAACCGAATCGACATTTGATAGTCTCGAAAATTCCCTGCAATATGGTCAGCCTCCATAGGTCAATAAGTTTCAAATTTTTAAGTCTTTTTTAGTCATCATATCTTCAAGATCTCTCTCATTCAAATCTAGATTCATAAGGTCACGTAGGATATAGCTGTTTCCCTGTGCCGCCTCTACACATTGGGAAGAGCTTTTATTGCAAGATTTAATAAGCTGTTTCCCTTACTCGCCGCTGCAGTAGCAGTCACCGAAGGAAGTTCCACTAAGCCTTCGGTATTGGTGCACAGTGGATGGTGCCTTACTCCTCTGATATGAAGTAACCCATATGAAACCATCACATCAGAGTCTACACTTATCGAGAAGTGTTTTTCGTAAGGAGTAAGGTATAAGATTATAGCAAGACTTAATAAGCAGTTTCCCTTACTCGCCGCTGCTGTAGCAGTCACCGAAGGAAGTTCCACTAAGCCTTCGGTATTGGTGCACAGTGGATGGTGCCTTACTCGTCAGATGTGAGATTGCACCTCTGAAACCTTCACATCAGAGTCTACACTTATCTCTAAGTGTTTTTCGTAAGGAGTAAGGTAATTGCTTATTGAATTGATCCTCAGCAAACCATTGTTTTTTTCTTTTCTTTTTTCATGAATTTAATAGCAAAGTTTAGTACAGTAAATAAATAAATAACTGTGAATTATTATTATTATTAAAATAGCTGTTTGGTAGATTAGAGGATTAATTTTAAAAAAATAAATAAATAAGACGAATGGAAACAATAATATATAATTTTTTTAATTCAATAACACACTAAGTAGAAATTTGGAAGTCCTAATGAAAAATCGTTATTATGTAATTTTTTTAATATAAAAGAGCGTTTATAAGAAATAAATACTAAAATATATTTCAAATTTAATTTAAAACCTGACAATTTTTATCTTAAATTTAATTTTTTGTAAGTATTTTTTTTTCATAAACTTATTAATTTCAATAAAATAATTTTTTTTTTT